GATCAGTATATCTTGAAATCTATTTTTATATGTTTTTTTATGAGTTTTACTCGAGTTCATAAGGACTATAAATTTTTCTCGGAAAAAGAGAATTAGCATGGTTTTAAATCCATTTGCAAAGAGTGATTATGTTCTCATAGACTCGAGTAAAAGTCATAAAAACATGTTAAAATGGATTTCAAAACATACTGATCATAATGATGTTATCGAAAAGTTCAGTAACTCTAAGAAGTTCTAATTGTTTTTCTGAAAAGTATTTCGAGATCTATCCCATACGTACTTTTTTCTCTTACTTTGGTTTCATGCTTCGGTATAGTGTGAAAAACTGCACCAATCAATATAGATGTCTCATTGGTTACTCATTTTTTTTATTAGTTTTTTTTCGGTACTTGATTGTAAAACTTTTCTTTGAATCTTTTTTTTGCGTGATAATTATTGACATTGCAATTCCGTAAAGACGGCATTATAACGATTGGTTATTGTTAAAATATATAAGATTTTTCTAGATTTACGTTTTCTCGCACGTTTGTAGCGCGATTGCCACAAATTTTACTACGTTCCAAGGTTAAAATACGTATTAATACTGAAAGATTAGCTAATAAGACCTATTTTTAAGCGTATTTCTCTGAAAGGATATATTCTGTTCAATAATCATTCATTATTTCTCTTTTTTTCAAGACGCATTGAAACGAATTCGTATCTTGAGATTAATTGAAACACAAAATATATACTTCATGCATTTAACGATTAAGTTTTCTTAGAGGCCACTAAAGTTCTTAGTTTTTCGTTTTGGCATAATTAACCACAAAGGTTGCACAAGGTCTGATGATTAAAAATAAATCTAGAACATTATAAATTAGCGTTTAATATTTTTAAAAGTGAAAAATAACCTTACCAATAATAGAACGAAATAGTAACTACACTTTGTAAACAAAAAAAACGTGTTTTGAATAAGCAGGAACAAATGAAGCGTAACTAACCTTTTTTTTTCTCTCTGTCTTATCGTCTTTCTACTTATTAAGAACTGAATTCGTATATTACACATTCGATGATGTTTTCGACAAATCACATGCATAATATCTCTCATTCCGATGAATCGAAAGATAGTTGTACAATATAGTCGCAATAATATTTTTTACTTAGATAAGTGCGAAGAAAAATATAAATTCATTATGGAGAGATTGAAATTAAAAAAAAAACTATGCTTTTATGTTTTTTTTTCTGACCTCTATTGAGAATATATGTTCAAGTTTGCAAAAGTTGGGGTTTCTGTAGAATTATATAGTGCATCAAATACTTTAGTTCTGAACAATTTTGATTATTATTGCATTGTCATCCTGGGAAAATACTCCAAGTGTACAAGAAGAAATTTAAATCTTCCAGCACTTTATAAACACATTGAAATATGTTTTTTCTTTTTCTCCTAACATCTTATCATTGTTATTTTGTCTTCACTGTATTGTGTCAGTTAACTATCTCGTTTGTTTTCGTGATTCGATCAATCAGTTAGGTAATTTTTACAGGATACTGTCATTTTTTTTTCTTTGCTTCATATCAGTCGCTGATTATTTCTTCGTAGCTTTTTCATCTTTAATTAGTAAATAATAACAAACACAATAGTATTAATAATTAGACAGGTGAGATATTTTTTCGTATTCTGATGAAACTGGACTAAAAATATTTAGAATGAACTGCTTTTGTTTATGATCAACTAATTCATACAATTTTTATGTACGTTTTAACAAGTTTTCTTTAAAAGATGAAACTAAATTTAAATAATCAAAATTTAAAGTACATTTCTAGAAGAATATTTATTGATTTGTATCAATATTGTCATTTGTTTACATTCACTTTTTATTATCTCATAGTTTCTGATAAAGTTTGTTATGTTTCTATTTTTTGATAAATGAATTGATCATTTTGGTCAAATGAACTCAAGGAAATTTTTTCTAAAAGATAAGTAAAATATAACTTATCAAGTGAATCAAAATATGGGAATGATTAAATTGATGTTTTCGAATATCTGTTACAGTGAAAATAAAACGAAAAATTATTATCTTGTATTTCAGACAAAGAACCATATTTGATTATATTGCATTTTTTTCCTTATCCTGTTTGAGTGTCAGTAGGTTTTTTCTTCACACATTTTGTTGAATCAAAATCTATTTAAAGAAAAAAGAAATAAGTTATTTAAATTAGTCATTATATTTCATTATCTTTTCTTTATACGTATTTACGCTAATGATGCCACAGATGAACATTGTGGCAGCTATTTCGAACATTGGCTAAAGACAGATACGAGTAATGCCGTTTTCATGAATAGTTTTTTTTCTTCAAATAGTAAGTCCTTTTTAACTTGTCTTAGTATCTTTTCAACAATTGTAGGTCGATAAAATGAGCATTTGGTGTGTAAAAATGTTTACTAGCATTGAAAATAGAATAGAAAACAAAAAAAGCATTTGTTTATTTAGTATCTCACTTTTCCTCTATTAATATTCTCATGACAATCTTTTTCTTTTGTTTAAGATTTGACAAATATCTTATAAAGATAGAACGAAATGGAGAGCATAAAACTCTTTCTATGAAGGAATATGATCGATGTTTTTAATTTACAATAGAAATTATTCTTTGTAAAAAATAAAGTTCGATTATTGCTACGAAGTTTTTTAATTTAAGATAGAAAACTAATATGACAAATATTGATTGACGAAATCGTTGTAGATGTCACTGAAATTCAAATAATATAATTTATAGTACAACAATATATACCTGCACACTGTTATTCTAAATGATTATGATAAAAATGAAAAGATTTCATCGTTTCATCAACTATTGATAAGCAATACTGTGTGAAAAAGTTATTTTCATCGCTACAGTAAAATGAAGTATCATCATGCCCTTCTTTTTATTCTACTAATTATTCACGGTCAAAATATTGACAAGGTTATTACACTATGTTATGCTGAAAGATGTTGGTTTGATGCTGTTGAACTGATATTAATTCTACAACAACGAAATATACGTATGTCTTCAACCTTGAACTACCAATTAGTTTCAATTGACAATCAGTATGATTAATTATACTTCAACGACAACCGAGTATCGTGATCAAGAATTTGTACTTACATCCATTGGTTCGTCGAAATGAGTTCAATTGACTGCAACAAAAAACATCAGTAGAAATAACTTCTTTACTTTTTAATTCAAGATTTTCAACAAAAAATTTTATTTATGCAAATAACGTTATTTGTGAGGTACCATAGGATAATTGTCGATGAATCATGTTCATTTCAATTCTAACTCAGTATACAAAATCTGATATGTTGGCTCATGAACAACGTCTCATTGTTTCATCAATAGTAAATAAAACTCGAAATCAAAGTTTCTTGTACGATCATATCTTTGTTTTTCAAATGGCCATTTTCTGAAACTTTGTTATCAATAAATAATCGTCAGCGACTGAATGGTTATCAAACATGTTAGATCTTGCTGTTGATTTTATTGCGAAAACCTATGAGATCGTTTTTCTTTCCTTTTCATTTCAAAAGAAAAAAAACGCACTTTAAAGTAGAACATTCTGTGGTGTTAAATTTGTCCCGAATAATCAAAACTATCGCTTTAGATCCAAGTTTTCATGAAGGGCAGGTGTAGTTGTTGGCCTTCCTTTTGCTACACAATCCACATCTATTCACAAATGATCAATTTAACGGTGTCTTTTGAGAATACATAAATTGTTTATTAACTTTTTTCATGTTTTCATAACACGAGAACAGAGAAGTTTTATTTTGTAAAAAAACAAAAAGCTTTAGGATTTAATTCATTATTGCTTTTTCTAGTGAAAAGAAAGAATGACAGATTTGATGTGTGATTCATATTTTAAAAAAATCAACAGAATTGTCATGGCAATCAGGTGACTAAAAGACAAAGCATCGATTTATGTACACGCTGTGCAAACTGTCGATTAAAAAAAAACATAGTTGCACTGAAGTGTATTGCATTCTACTCTTCATCTATAATCATTGTCCAATGCAAGAATACACTTTTCAAAGAGATACTTTGCAGAAGGAGTTCAGAATCTACTAAACACATCTCATTTGATAAAAAGGAGAAAAACGAGCGATCTATACACACAGCACAATATTGGATTTATATTGTTTATAATCATACTTTCTGACGGTGACAATATCATTTATTGACATGTATTTGGAATGTATACCTCGTCATCCTCAAATATTTCAAGTCTGACGATGTGAAAAATGGCGAGATGAACTGTTTCATTTGTTGCACATGCATTAGGTGATGTATTGAATGTTTCTTAGCTTCTTTTTATCTGTCTTTACGACAGCTCAAGTTGTGCATCAATGCTTTCTTGTACTAGAACAATGCATTGCTGATCTTTGAGTTATTTTTCTAATGCAAAATTAAGTTAAATCAAAACAGGTGCGATAAAATACATTGATAGAACGCCTTTTTTCTTAGAGAATGATCAAAGACACTTCACAACAATACGTTTAGTTTAAAGTAGCAAAACGGAAAATCGAAGGTCTACAATTGTAGAACGGAAACTAAGCAGACAAACATGGACAAAAACGAAAATCTTTCTGCGATTTCAACTACCTTGCTGATAAGTTCTTTGAAAAATCATATCGACCATTCATTTTTTTAGACTAGATGAATTAGTTTTTCAGAAATTTAGTCTAAAACACAAATTGAAAAACGTAGAAGAACTTTCATTGATTATGATCTATCTTGATTTTTGATAATGTTATAGAAAAAAAATTATATTGATAAGTTTTTCTTTTGTTCTCAATTTGCCTATATTCATTATCATCCTATATAGATTACAATACCTTAAGTTAAACATGATACAATCCTGGTCAAAGATTCTCATTCTTATTAATCTAAGCATCATCGTCCTTTTTTACTGTACCGTCGAACGAAGCCCTCGACATATCACCAGCATTTCTTCATATCAAAATAATGTGTATAATCGCAATTTCATGTTTCGACAAGAATTACTTCGTCGACATCTAGCAAGTCATTCGGATTTTTATGATTATTCAGCTAATGTCTGTAATATCACTGATGATGTAGTTGGCGAACCACCACGTGTTTTAGTTAATATTTCTGCATTACTTTTAAAACTTCGTGAACAGATTGTGCCATATCCGGAAGAATATTTCGAAGGACGAGGCATCGTACTCACTGTTGGTTTTGCTCAAGCCTCATCTGAAAAAATTAGCTTGAAAATGATCGAACTAAGTGGTACACAATTACCTGTACAGGTAAAATGTGCATTTTGAAACAGTATTTTCTAAATTATTCAATACTGCTTTACCTTCAAATTACATCTTAGGTTAGTTCGTTCAGAGAATGCAAGTCTCGTTTTCCCGTACAGAGGTATAATGACCATTATAGCAGTTTTAAACAGTATCATAGAAATCTTTTTAAAAATAATTTTTAATAGTTTGACGCTATTACTTTCGAGATACAAACTTAAAAGAAAGTAATCAGCAGGATTTCTCACATAATAAATCATATATTCAATAAAAATGTAAGATTAGGTCGTTCTTTTTACATTGTTGTTAACAGAAAAGGACATAGTCAGCAAGAAAAAGCTGGATAGAAAATATCTTTGATAGTTCTTGAGTTTCTTAAAATACTGATTTCTTTTTCAAGAATATGCGAACTGTCATAAGCGTTGGTCATTCAGTTCAGCTTCATTTTCATAAAAACGAAGATATTTCATCGTGAAAATTCCTTCGATTCGCAATGATTTTGAATGGTAATGCTTGATAAAGAAATTTGTATTTAAACTTTATACGATCAAAATATTTCTATTTCAAAGAATCGATACCTCTAAAATAGTAGTCTTAGAGAAGAATTCTATGAAACTAATTCACATCCATCAATTTTTAATACGAAAGAGTCTCCATATATATTCTAAACAGTTTGTAAGAGAACTTTTGAAAAAAACATAACAGTTGAAAAGAGTACATTAAAGTTGTTATCGATGGGACTTTCAACTTATTACTTTTTCAACGATTTATCGTGAACATAAAAATCACTATATTTAACAATCAAAAAGTTGAAACCTATATTCAATATGATTTCTCTGAATATTAGACTATGAATAGTATAACCTAAGTAAAAAAAAGATAATCTCTTCTTTACGAAAGAGAAGTTCAAATGAGTTTTCATTTGTTTCTACTACGTAGATATGGTATTCTTCATCGCAGCGATCGCATAACTATATGATACAATTACTTCGTGAAATTCCAAAACTAAATGCAAGTGTTTGTTGTTTTGATACTGCTCAATGTCAAACAACAACCAGTGTTTGGAATCTAGATCCTACTCATATCTATAAACCTCTCACATCAAATCTACCACATAGATCTTTTCCATATAAACCTGCTGCAATTATTAGTTCTACATTTGCTGAAGTACTCTTTCTCGATTGTGATGCTTATCTTGTTCGAAATCCTGACTATTGGTTTCGATCAGATCCTATGTATCTTCATTTTGGTGCACTCTTCTTTCCTGATGCTATACTCAGTCGACAACATCCTTCTGTGTGGAACATTTTTAATACTACATGTGCTCGAGATGAATTCGAACTTGATAGTGCCGTTATACTCGTCGATAAGACACGTGTATGGAAAGGACTCTATATGACTAAATTAATGAATGATTATCATCAACTTTTCTACGAAGTATAGTTAATTATTTGACGACGAAAGAAATTTAAAAAAATATTCATTGTATTTCTTATAGCATATCACTGATGGCGACAAAGATACATTTCGACTAGGTTTTCGCTATATGCATGTGAAATATTATTTGGTCATGATTCCATGTTCGGTAAACTGAAGACATTTAATAGAATATTATCTACTAGTTTCTTACTTATTGATAGACTGGTTCTTTCAATGGTACTCATTTTGCTGGCTATACATTATGCAAAACAGACAGTTTAGCACAACATATCTATGTAAAGTATGCGAATTTATGAATACAGGTTATTTTTTATTTGAATTTTTCATTCTGTATTCTAGCCATTTCAATTTGTTAAAATATTTAAGAATTTCTCAAAATTCAGAGACTTTACGCTATACACGTATTGGTATTGGCGATCCAAACAATCATTCTTTCGTTTTTCAACATTGTTCAGCATCCACAGGTCCATATACTTTTCATATTGAGAAAGTGACCAATCGAAATAGAAACTTGCATAGTTGCATCGATAGACAAATTTCATCCGACGAAATTGAAAATTACACTTACGCATTTGATGAACCACTCATGTCCGATTGGTCTCGATATGATCGTGTGATGATTATGGAAACAAATAATGTCATGCCACATTTTCTGAAGAATTATCTCGAAATTCATCAAGCATCTATTTCTTTGTTTCCACGAAAAATCCATGGACAATATTACAATATCAGTTGATTGATCTTTGTCTTCTTTGTTTTTCCATCACTTGTTGACTTCTATTACTGTTGTCAATGCAATCGCTTTTATGTCGTTGTATAGAGAAATAATAAGACGATTGTTCGAAACTCTTATATCTTATATTAATTTTCTTCTCTCTGACATTTCCATGCTTTGACTATTATATTGCTAGCTTTTATGATTGATTCAAATTGTTTCTTTAATACATGATTGTTTCTGCGAATATTTTCTTCCATAATCTCTCTCTCTTTAAATATGAAAATATGTCAAAAAAAAAATCAACAGATGAGAATCCGATTGGTATTTTAATCGATTACTGTAGTGTTCAACGATAAATGAATTTATGACAATAAAAGAACAGTAATCGAAGCGGAAAATTCGAATCAAAAGAAGTTATCAAATCATGCAGTGCAGTTCGGTTTTCAATAAACCGAATAATCATAGATATAAACATCTGCCATTCTAAGGAAGAAGATTATGATAAAAACAATTTTCATAGTTATTGATCTCTTGAAGAATCTAATCAAACTAAAGAAACTCAAAAAATAAAATACATTCAAACATTATCTTTGACAGTTACGTAACCAGAGAAAGATTACTAAGTGGCTCAGTTCCTTAATCCTCCCCTCTTTACCGGTTGTTTCGCAACTAGGGTCGCTGTGGATGTGACTATGGGACGTGTTCGTGCGGTACGTCAACAGAAGAGTTACAGCCACACACTCACATCTTCACCGAATGAAAGCTGCAATTAGTTAGATATGCACTATCGGAGTCTTGATATCAATCCTCCTCGTAATACACTTCTTTTTTGAAGGTTCTGAACAGTTTTTAAAGCTCAGAGGCTTCTATTTATGATGGATGATTCACTTGAAGTTCGAGTTGGGTATCGAAAGATTTGAGTAAACTGTCTCGACCATATCCATTAGGTTTACACGAATTTATCTTCAATGTCGATAAGTGCGAATCTGCATCCACGTATGTACGCGTTAGTAACACATCTTCACATTTACCAGGAGGTCGATACTTCATGTACTGCTCACAAGAATTGAATATCCTATTTATGCCAATACAACATGAAAAATAAGAGAGAGCATCAGAGAAGAAATGTTGATATGTAGAAATATTTCTCCAAGTCTCGGGATTGTAGAAATCGAGCGTACCAGCTCCTTTTCTCCAGTCAGCTATCCATCTACCTTCGTTATCATAACAACACTGTGCGCCTGCAGCACTTGTTGTCGACTTGCGACGATAACATCCTTTGGCTCCTTGATGAAGTCGACAATTCCAATATCCCGATTTGCGTGCATCACACGCTGAATCGGTCTTGAAGCCAAATTGTTCTTCATCCCATGTTATGTTCACTTGACATGGACAGCAACGAACTTGGTTAAGTGATTTTTCTGTATTAGCATCGGACTGAAGAGCAAGCCAGATCAGACCATAGGCTGTGAACAGTAAATAAGTCACAATAAATGCACATACAAAGAATGTTATAACTCTTCCCCATGAGAACGATTTTGTTGTGATCACCTGTGCGGACAACGGACGAGGATTGGGAACTAATTGTCGATTGGGAATGAGCAGCTCTTTTGTAGTCATATGAGTAGTTCTTTTTACAAGTTAAATTTGTTTTCAATAATAAAAGAAGACGCCATTAACGTTGTCGTTACTAAGTAACGTCATCCACCCAGTGTAAAATTATAATAATACGAGGCGAGCACTTGATGGCGTTAATATATCAAAGCTATAAATGTTAAACCTAAAACGATTTCATAACACTGTATGTATGGTTTACTTAAAAATTGGAAAGAAGCATTTATTACAGTAAGTTACAATAATTGTTTCAATTATGAGCAATCGAATGGAGCACGAAATGGTGTTAACTTCTTATAGATAATGCCTAGTGTTAAATCAATAGATTCATGAACAGGCATATTCATATACAAGATGTCAACATGAAAATCTACCATAATCTGTTGATACAACTCTTTGACTACGATTATCCTTTAGGAGCATTGATAGATATTTCAATAGCTCATGATTGTACGTACCTACTGAGAAGATGATAGATCGCAATGAATATTTAAGTTTATGTACTTATGGTTGTCCGTACATTATGACTAAAGACGAACATGTGGATTAAATTCTCCATTATACATTTTTATCAATAACATTTTCTGAGAATAATCTCAGAATATAGTTACTCATCATTTTTTCCTGTTTCAGCAAAGGCGTGATGGTCGTTGTCAGTCTTGAGTTCATCGACATCTACATCCACACCTACCAGTCGTAAAACGCTAACCGGTTCTTGTCGTTGCGGAATCGAAGAAGATCTACTTCACAGCTTTCGTGTAGTACTACATTAAGATTTTGTTGTCTCGGATTAGTCCTCTTCTCTAATCTCTAGTATTTTGTTGGTGTATAATATCCTTACGAGAAAATTATGGATAGTCATGATTTACATTTTCTTTAAACGACATGGCATTTGTTTTTTTTAATCAAAACAATGCTCACTCTTCTTATTATTTTGAAGTTTTATTTGTGTGGAGTTTTTAATTATTCGTCAAAATGTAAGAATAATAAAAAAATAAACATTTTCACATTTTTCTTCTGTTATAATATGAGTACAAGTCATAAATTAAATTTTAAAACGAATTCGAGATGTGTTATTAGCAGATAAAAAAGACATAGAACATAATATCAGTAATTATCCAGATTCTGATTCTGATAGAAAATATAATATTGTTACTACTGAATCAGATGACACATTCACTGAACATTACAAAAGGACTATGGTTTAAACATTCAGCTTGGCAAAAGATCGAATATCTGTTGCTAATTTCATGAAAAAAAAACAGACTCTACTACTAAATTTAACATCATTCTTCATACTTTTAATCTTTTCAATATATGTAGCATCTAGACCTTTGTGTTTGCACCAATGAAGAGCTTGAATAAAGCAAAAGTATCTTTTTTTTGATTATTTGTATGGATCAGCTCAGGTAAATCTCAGGACAATAACGAGGGTTTAACATGTGTTACTAAATTTATGTGATGAAGATTCAAAGTGTTAGAGATTTTTGAGATAATACAAAAAGGTTTTGAAGAATTCTTGAAACGAAGAATACGAAGAGAATACAATACCCTTCTTCTGACACTTACCTCCTATAATAAGAAATATTACAATTGTTTACATGCACTCATCACTAAACATTTTCATAATTTTTATTAGCTTGCTAAAATATTAAATAACTCATTGGGATACTTTAAACAAGTCTATGACAACCGCAACATTCGTTACCTGCATTTCATTCATTTATTTCAAGAACACTTGCAACAAAGTATGCCAGAATAATCATTAGAAGGTCTTCACTATTGTATGATTGACATTTATTTAAAATACAGTTTCATAAATAAACTCTCTGACCAACTATTATTGTCATCAAAGCAGATAAGTACCTACACAAACACTAAGATCGTAGTTGGCGGTTGAATGTGCACTAGTATCTTAAATGTTACAGTAACAATAAATTATTGTTTGAAAAATAAATTTTTTCAATCAACAAAACTGCAACGAAGCCTTTGAGTTATAGTCCGTTTGCACAAAAATATAAACGTAAGATCCACTAATTTTTTTTGTCTAATATGTGTCAATAAAGTTGCAATGTACACAAAAAAAGCCGGTATACGATGTCGTTTTATACTATAAATTTAAAATGAATGTTCAAAGAAGTCAATTGAGCATATTTGATCGTGATCTATTTTTAATGTCTCTAATACTGATAGAACCACAGGTCTACTATTCTTTCCGCTTGCTTGCAGTAACGGAATTGTAAAGACTCATAGCACCTGCCAGGATTGATATATTGACGACAAAAGCGCCTAATAGATGCACAATTGCACCGTTAAGCAACGAAGAATATGGATTTGTGGTAGCACTGCAGATGCCTACTAACGTCCAATAGGTCGGGATGGCGTTAATAATGACAACAGTTAATGAAAGCGCAGATAGAAGTGCCATTCGACTTGGATACTTCAAATACAGAAACCAGCCAGCTAACATTATAGTAGATAAAATTATCTCGTTAGGTAAGCTGGCGAACTTTGATGGATTTTCAGGTGTTCCAAATAACTCACAATAATGTTTGATTGCTTGTTCAATAGTATCTTTATTAGGACTGTGTGTCAGAAATATTGCTAAATCTGCTTTCAGAATAGAAATAAAGTTGACTATGGACAAACAGATGGATACAGCAAGGCGAATGGCCATCATTGCGATCATTGTTTGCGATATTGATGAAGAACTCGACTTGATTGAATGACTAGAGACTTTGATGGGATGAAAAAAGTGAGCGAGATTCCATAGAAAAATAAATATGTTGAATGCCATTATAAGCAAATTACCAAATCGATCAAAGAAAAAAAATTGATAAAGACACAAACATCCATACATGATTTGCACGAAAATCGGTGAATGATGCATTTTAAAGTAAAGAATAATCGAACTCGCTAAGAAACCAATTCCGAAGGCTCTTAATTCCCATATAATGGCTGTTT